ATATATATATATATATATATATATATATAGTTTGGTGAGTTGAATAATTGCACAAGTATAGAGAAAGCATGATAATATGAAATTATCAAAACCATCATACCCTAACCCTAAAGCCCCAAAAAACAATCCCAAGGTACCACCCCAAATCAAGGAAGTAAGCTCGTAGAGGCCAATAGTTTAAGGACTGAAAACACAGCCCACCAGCTTTTCTGCCCCACTTTATAATAAAGCAAAAGCAAAGAATAAAAAAGAATACTACATAAATGAAAGAAAATGGAAAGAGAGGAAACATAGGCAAAGCGCCCCAACCCCACCGCTCCTATAAAAATTCTTTCAAGGGCATAGACTCAAAGTTTCCTCAGCCTCATCTGAGAAAGCAAACAGGGAACTCCTAAACCTTTAGCAAAGGCCTGTTTGGTTGGGTGCGTAAACAAGGAAAACTTAGCAAAGTGAAGAGAGAAAGTGAAAGGGAAAGGGAAAGGAAAGGAGAGAAAGATTTTTCTTTCTTGTGTGTATGTGTGTGAGTGGGGGGGACTTCTTTTTGGAGGAGAGGCATATGAAACTGAAGAGTTTGTTTTTTGCAGCTCATATCAGTGCAACAAATGATGGCAGGAAACCCTAGCTGGTGGAGCATGCATCCACCTTCTCAACAATCTTCTGCTTTGTTAACTCCATCCCCTTCTCTCTTCCCTCCTCAATATGTTCTCGGATCTTCTACTCTTCCTCCTAATTCTTTGGCTGATAACCAAGAGCTTCCACAGTCATGGAGCCAACTACTCTTGTGAGCTCTCTCTGTCTCCCCTTCTCGACTTCATCTCTACTTTTTTATTGTAGTTACTACTCTCTTTAACCTGCGTTCATGGTCTTCTTGATCCATAAACCATCTCTTTACGGTCTCGCCCTATACTAGATATCTTCTCTATAGTTATCTCTTTTTTTTCTGTCAGCTCCTTTTCAAGATGCCTTTACAAATTAACTATCTCAACTTTTTTTTGTTTCCTTATTACTGTTTACAAATTGAGCCTCTCCCTCTCCCTCTCCCTCTCCATCTTTCATCTAGCTAACTTCTCTCTGATCTAACCTTAAACGTATTTCTTAATGTGTGCTTTTTATTGCTTCTCTTGGTTGTCTTAGTAAGATAGCTTTTTTTTGCATACAAATTCTAAGGCAATAATAATTATGGTTCTGGGGGTTCTTATTTGGTGGTTAGGTGTGGATTATCAGGCGAAGAAGAAAGGTTTGGTCCAAGTCATTTTCACACAAAAAAGTTGGAAAATTGGGAAAACCAAATCCTAAATCCGTCTTCGAGGGTTCCAGTTGTTGACGTAAAGCAAGAGGTTACTCAAAATAGCAACTTGTACGGTCATGGTGATGAAGAATTTCAAGCATCTAGGCCGCCTGCTGCTGCTGCTTGGTCCCATATCATGCCAGTTTCTTCTCCTAGGTCTTGTATTACTAGTTTAAGTGGTAGTAATATATTAGACTTCTCTTATAACAAGGCGGCAGATGGGACTAATACTCAACCCCTAGATCATTCTTCTGAGGTAAGAAAGAGAAAACAACACCTCCCCCAACCTTTTTAAATTTTCTTTCCTTCTTTTTCCTGGCAAATCTAACAGATAAAAGTTCTTTTCTTTTTTTTTTCTGGTTTTTTTTTCTCATTTTCTTCTTTGCTGCTACATCTTTTTTTGTTTTCGTTTTCATAGTGTAATAGCACGGCCACGGGTGGGCTGTGCAAGAAGGCTAGGGTTCAGCCGTCTTCAAGCCAACCACCTCTAAAGGTAACACAGAGAATCTTTCTCTCTCTCTCCTTTTTTTTTTAACTTTCTTTAATTCTGTGTGCTTGTGCATTTGCGTCTGTGTAGAATATTATGTCGTTCTTGATTGTCTATTTTCAAGCATGTCTTATTCTTTTCAGCTACTACTACCAGCCATAACCATTTATCAAAACCCAAAAAAAAGGAAAGCTATTAAAACATTGTGTGCTGATTGTCCTGCATTATATTTATGCTGAATCCAGGTGAGAAAAGAGAAGCTAGGAGATAGGATAACAGCACTTCACCAGTTAGTTTCCCCATTTGGAAAGGTAAAAGAAAATTCTCTTTAACTTGTTCATCAGCTAGCACAAAAACTGAACGCAAGGAATAGTCCAAGATTACAGAAGCCGTTTTATTCTATAATAAAACCCATATCCTTTGATGTTTTTATTTCCTTATTTTATGTGTGTGCACTGATCAAGGCTCTTTTTCCTCCTTTATCTCTTTTTATTTGGCTTTTCTCTTTTAACATTAAAGGAGGATCTGAAAGACGACTTGGGGGTTTGTGTTGTGTTTGTGTGCTCTTTTGCAGACTGACACTGCTTCTGTCTTGTTAGAAGCTATTGGGTATATCAGATTCCTTCAGGGTCAAATTGAGGTGATGTTTCTTCCACATTTTATACTCTCTGCTAGCAGCTCAGGAATCAGTGAGAAGCATGTAGTTTAAAGTTTCAATAATTCATGCTATTCTTTATCATTCTTTAGTTATGGAAGTCATAAAATTTTATTCTCTTTTCCCCACTTTAAACGCAGGCGCTTAGCTCCCCTTACTTGGGCACTGCATCTACAAACATGAGAAACCAACAATCTGTAAGTACCCGTTCATACATTTATATATATATATATATATATATATATTCTCTTTTCCCAAAGCGAGACCAAACCTTTCTCTCTCTCTCTCTCTCTTTTAGTTTATGTATATATGGTTAACTGCATATTATACTTGACATGATATACTTAGTATTTAATTGATAGGTAATTTTGATTTAATTTTTTAGGTACAACGAGAAAGGAATTGTGCATTTCCTGAAGAACAAGGACAGGTATGCTTTATTGGATCCATCACCTCACAAAAGCAAAGTAGGGGGAGGGTTTTGTACATGGAAAGCATCTGTTTTTAACTACTATTTTATTCTTAAAGAAAGCCATTCAAAGAACAAGGTTCTCAGCTTTAAAACACTTTTACAAGTGAATAAAAGTTAATCGAAAGCATAATTAGGGATTGCATAAGATTAGTATGTAATTTAAAACAAAAAAAGAAATGAAAAGAAAAGGAGTTGAAGATAGAAATAGTAATGCTTTTTCCCTGTCCTTTTCCATTTCTCTCGTTTTAAAAATTAGCCGTTGAAAGACACCAACTAGAAAAGCGAAGGAGGCTCCTTAACCAGGAATGCTTTCTTGATATGACACACCTCTGTCTGTCTGTCTGTCTCTCTCACTCATTTGACTAATTGTTCATTTATACGGCATTATTTATTATCATCATCGTTATCCTCCTCATCATTACTGCTATTATTACAACTTCATTTTGAAAAATGAAACAGTACCCTTTCAGACACCACCATTATCCATTTACATATACATACATATAAGTTATGAAAACCATTGCACTCATACTGTTTTTCTTTACCTTTTCCTTTTCCAATTAATGGAGATTTACTTCTTTCGATTATAATAACAGGATATCCAAGATAAGCCAAAGGACTTAAGGAGTAGAGGGCTGTGCTTGGTTCCAGTATCTTGCACTCAACAAGTTGGAAGTGATAATGGTGCTGATTACTGGGCACCGGCTTTCGGCGGCGGGTTTTAAGGAGGCAATTTACTTTTGATTAGATTGCAGCAACTGCTCTGCTTGAAGCAATTTCAATGGAATGGAATGATATAACATCATGAGCAGTCACTCTGCTGAATTCTATAAGGCTGATTGCTCATGATGCTATTGCATTCTCCACCAGATGATAAACTATGGTTCTTGTACCTTTCTATTAATTAGGATAGCTTTGTATTGTAGCTTTTCTTTGAGCTATGAACTAGAGCTTCGTCTATGCGAAGTTCACTTCTATTATTGTTCATCTCAAAAGAAAAAAAAAAAAGAAGAAAAAACTAGTTGGGAAAGCACCATTCTTTCTTGAGGAAAGAATCTTGACTCTCACAAATGAACTAGCTCATTTCTTCTCTTTCCTTTTTCCCTTTTTATTTTTCTTGTTAATCTTTTCATTGCTATCTTTTAGAAGGATCCTTGCAAGCTTAAAAAGAATAAACAATGGCCTGCCGTTATAGATAAGGCTAACGAAAATGAATATATATGTCCAAAATTAAAACATGTTCATGGTTGCACAAAATTGCACATAAAATGTTAAACTTTCATATTGGCCCAAGGCCATACAAGAATCACTTCTTCACAAATCTTTATACAGGGATTTTATTTTATTTATTGTGAAGAACAGAAGAGGAAAACGTGCATACATAGCCAGTTACATTGTCTTTATGGTGTTCTAACTAGTTTTTTTGTTTTTTTGAAAAGCTTTAAAGGTGATTTCATTACTTGAAGAAAAGTGCACAAAAACTACCCTTTTTCTGGTAGTAGAATGGCCAAATCATGTAGGACAAGTCCCTAGCATGAAATGTGCAATGCATATGTCAAAGTAACAACAAAACCCGACAAACAGCCACTGAATGATGAAGAAAAAAGCTAGAGCGATCACCCCAGCATCCAGTCGAGTAACAGCTCCGCAAAAGCAGCTTTCAGGCTGACCAAAAACACTTGGTATTTATATATATATTTATAATTTTTTTGAACGCAGTGTTGATCAACTAATACAAAGACAATGAGTCAATGGGATGAGATTAAATTAGTTGATTTGCATGTTGATTTTCTGGGATGTATATGCACACCATCTTGTACATATTTCCTCCTTGCCGGCTTTTCTCTCTCTCGCAGTAGTGTTGGAAACACTTGCAAATTACACCGGTGTATACGAAAAGCTGATTTGACCTAGTGGTAATCAACCCTTGGTGGTAGGGCAACAATTGTTCCAGCTTCCAATTTAAGCTTTTGCTTTATACTAATCAAGGATGGAAAGAGAAAATTTGAATGGAAAATTTTTGAATCTAATTAGGTTTTCATAACTATTTGGACAAAAAACTCTCAAAAGTCATAAACCTCCTCTTCCCTTCCTCCAAATTTCGCATTATATAAAAAAAAAGATTTAAAATCTCTATCTATGTTATTCATAATTTTTCTCGGCACTTGCTTAATTTGGGTTCATGATGTTCATTCACCTGTTGTTGTATGGTGCAAGTTCTCCACTTTCAGATAGCAGTAGATCTTTTGCTTAATGGTGTCTCATAAAATTTTGTTAGCTATGAACTCTTCATTCTGTTCGCTGCATAAACTGCCTTTTGCATCCTCCAATTAACATGTAATACAATTGCATGCAAACTTCAAACACAAATGCAATCATACATATATAACTAAACCTAATTTATAAAATAAAATACATTGATTCTCTTGACTTTTGATTATAATTGCACGTGAATCTATTAATTTTTAAAATGAACAATCCGTCTCAAAAGAATATTTTTTTTGAATACATAAATTATGTTGTTAGTTAAGTCAATATTTTTATTAGTTTGATGACCTAGAATTATTTTTAAGATAATTTTATTCTTCATTAATTTTAAAAATTATCACTATATAAATTATAATTTTTTATTTTAATTTTTTTCTCTTTTTTTAAAAAAATAAATTCTTTCCACCCGACCACCAGTGACCGACAACGCTTCCTAAAAGTGTAATAATCTGGGGCTCTTAGAAAGATCAGGCTGGATTTGGCATTCCATGACCAAATTTAACTGTGAGATAATCGACCGATGTAAGAAAGTATTATCGATTGGCTTGAAAAAAAGGAAAAAAGTGAAAAAAAGGCATTTTAAACGTTTCACATTTACGCATTAATGTCATTTACATTATTGGAATGAAATATTCATTTTGAACATTAATGGATTCACGTATAATTATTATCAAAAGTTGAGGGGTCAATATATTTTAGCCTAATCTATAACATACAAAGGCTACATATATATACTTGATTTTTATTTTTATTTATTTTTTGTTTAATATCTAAGTTATATAATTATTAATGATAGTCCTCTTTTTTCTTTCTTTGGAAACATCCAAAGTTGAAAAACGTAAAATTATGGAGAGTAACCTGCATATTTTAAAATACAAATAGATAAGTAAAGTGATAATATATTTAAATAATTTCAATCTAAAATGTGAAACACATTTGATTGTACTCACCCACCTTTAACTAAAATTTTGTTTTTCTTTATTTTTTAATTAATTTTGGGATGTTTGCTATAGAGTGGATGAAATAGAAGAGCTATATACATATCAATATATTAAAAGCAATAAATAAACTGTTAATTCAAATATGAAAAGGATTGAATCTCTTTGAATGGGAAAAGTAATGCTTAGAATGCAATCATGGTGATGAAAAAGCAAACCAAAGCAATCCCCTTCAACATTGGACATTGGCATGGCCCCTTTGACAGACTTAAAATAACTTTACAACTGACAATAATGAGGCATTTGACAATGAGAGTACAATCCATGTGTACCATTCATGTTAATAGCTTTTTTCCTCTTTCCCCCTTTTTTTTTTCCTATTCCCCCTTTTCAATGTTCAGGGCATAAGGCATCTTAGCTAGATCACTATTATCATTACCATTATTTTATATGTTAAGAATAATCCTAATAATTGATATTTTCCTACTTCATCAAAGCACATGAATCATGAAAAGTAGACTCAAAAAACTTTTGCTAATTAAGTTATAAGCTGGGTTCTAAGTTAAATTTCTTATACCGACACATTAAAACTAATTGTCGTCATATGATTCATTAATTATATAATTAATATGTTAATATGTACATCATATGTAACATGAATGAAATGAAAAAATGATTGTTTTTGTTGAAGAAAAGAGTAAAAAAAAAATGTTTCTTTTTTCAATAATTTATCTTTGGGGTTGAAGGGGAACTTTGCATCAGTACTCATTATAGCAATCCATATTTGTTTCTTAGCCATATCTAACTGGAAAGCTTGAAATATGAGCAACTGGGTGGCATGGCCGGGTGCCAGTGCCAGACCACTCATGTGGTGAAGCAGACCCGAATATGCCAAAATGGACCCCATTGCTTTCGGGTCTTTCTAGACCCCTTTTGAGATTTCACTCAATTCACATGCCCCACTCCCACGTAATCCTCACGTAATTTATTGCATCACCCCCTCCCGAGCGCCCGCCCCTCATCAATAACTCTTGCAATATTATAAAAAAAAAAAAAGAATTAACTAAAATTTCTTATAGAAGTTAAAATTAAATCTGAACGTTTATATTGAATTTTTATATAAATCAAATATTTTAATTAATTTGAATGTTGTTTTATATTTTATTAAATTGATAGTTTTTACTGTTGAATAATATTAATCTAATGTTACTTATAAATATCAATTTTAAATTTTATTAATTTATTGATTTTGATTCTCAAATAATAATATTTATTTGATTAATTTTAACAAACTTAATTTAAAGAATTTTATCTAAATTTCTTTTAATAAAAAATATTAATCTAAAGTAATAACCAATCAAATATTGTATTATCCGCAGACTTTAGCGTCATGTTTTTCACCCATTTTCAGATTATTTAAAACAACTTTAATCTTATTTTCTTGTGTAAAGGATTGAAGTTGGATTTTGTTGATCTATATTGAGCCCAAGCTCATCTTTCATTTTGTTTTTTCTTATGAGAGTAACCCTCTTTATTCATGAAATCATATATATTATTTCAAAACTTTATTTTATTTAACAAAATTATAATAACAAAATCAAAGCCATTGGATATCATTTTCAAAAAATAGGCCATCTCATTAGTAGGGTTATTTTAAAACAATGATGAATTCAAGATTTTGTATGAGAAGTTAAAAGATCATTATAAAAATAATCATAAAATTAAAAATTAACGAGTTTGGGGAAATAACTTTTGAATTTTTTCCTACACTTTTGGTTAGGTCCCAAACTTATTTTCACTTTGAAAATTTTTTAGAAAATGGCCACTCCCAATTCTCCTAAAAATTCTCTTTTTTAAAAGATTTCTCTGTAGATAATTGTAATTTAAATATCAAATTTAGTTACTTGGGGATTTGATTTTATCATGTATGCATTTTTAAAAAATTTCTCAAATTAAAATATGCACATAAAAGAAAATAAGAAAAGAAATTAAAAGGACAAATAATTAAAGAGTAGGAAAATACGACTTCAATAGGTTGTGCTCAAATCTGTCCAAAGCGGATTGGGGCTTTAGCTGAGCTTGGGTTGAGTGGCCCAATATTCCTTCTTTTTCCTCATTAATGGATCCTTTTAATCTTTGGGTCCACAGTTGGGCCAACGACTTAAAGTGGGCTGTTCGGCCTACTTTAGCTCTTGCTTTTTTTTATTTTCCATAATTTTACTTACTACTTACCCCCAAAAATCCTAACAATAAAGTCACTTGTTTTATAGAGAAAGGGGTTTTTTGCTTTCTTTTTTATAATTTCCTTTCTTTGTTTGAACGTTTGTCTTTGTCATTTTTCTTCTTTTCCTTTTGGTTTCGTTTTTGCTGGGTTGACTCTAGTATCGCCATTAAAACAAGTTCCCTATCTCAACAACTAGGAGGACTAGGATTAAACCAAGCTATGCTGCCAGCTTTAATGTCATGTGAGTAATGTTTTCATCAGCGACTAGGATATGATGTTGTAGGAGCTGATGGCTTCAAAAGCATCATGCATCTGTCATGCAACGATTAAGACAGTGAAAATGCATCGTTAAAAATTTTTAGCTTGCATCCACTGCTACTACCAGTCCAAACCAAACAGTTGCATAGCCTAAAGATTGTCAGGAAGAAAGCATGGCAAACAAATGGAAGCAGACGGCTCTCATAGTAATTGACATGCAGGTCCTTTCTTTCTTCATCATCTTGTCTTGGATTTACTTGGATTTTTTCTTTGTGTGGAAAATTGGTATTGTGTCTTTTTGCAGAAAGATTATATTTTAGAGGATAAAATAATGAGTGTGAAAGGAGGCAAAGCCATAGTCCCTAATGTCATAAAGGCTGTTCAAATCGCCAGGCAGCGTGGCATTCTTGTCGTGTGGGTAAATTTTCTAGCCTTTTTCCTCTTACTAGTACTTTCACTTTCTCTTTCAGTTGTATCCATCCTCTTCTCTTTGGAAGCGTCTCCTAGGATGTTCAATTTATCAAGAAAATGAAAAAAGAATTAAGTCTTTGATGTAAATTGTTTTCCTTATTCAACTTCCTTTTTCATTCTCCAGACAGCTTCTTTGGATAAGGGTTTTTTTTGGATAATGGGGTCTGCTTGTTTTGGCTAAAGCTATTTCCAGGGAATCTCTTAGAGCAAGTTAATTGAAGATCTGATCAATCTTCTTAAGTTTGATGATGGAAGCTCTTTTCCATCCTGAAACTACTTCTGAGAAATGGAGAAATGAAACATTTGAAACTATTTTCCTTTTTTTTTTTTGGAAATTACTATAAGGGTGTTGATATTTTAGAAGATTGATCCTGCCTCCTGGAAATAGAAAAATTGCTTTAATCAATCAATCACAACTCATTATCTGTAACAGATCAGAGTACCTTATGTAGACTTATCCAGAATAAAATTGGCATTTTGAAATTTGGTGGTGATTTAGTTAGAGATGGTATTTACAAAGGGCTTTTGGGTTGTTTGTAAATTGGACATTATTGTGAAAAACGTTTGGGGTTTAGGTTGTTCGAGAACATGACTATTTCGGAAGAGATGTTGAACTCTTTCGCCGGCACTTTTACTCTCCTGAGAAGGGGGGTCCGACCACAGAGGGAAGTGTAGGTGCAGAACTGGTGGATGGCCTTGTGATAAAAGAAGAAGATTACAAGTTGGTGAAGACTCGTTTCAGTGCATTCTTTAATACCAATCTCCATGGATTCCTTCAGAGTAATGGGGTCAATAATCTAGTGGTTGTTGGTATGGCAACTCAAGACTTGTAAACTTGCAAATATAAGTGGTTTTGTGAGAGCCATTTGTTTCTTTAAGTTTTTGTGGCATTTAACTATCAAAGAGTAGTTGTTCATTAAGAGTTTAATATTCTTTAATCTCTATGTCTAGGTGTTCAAACTCCAAATTGCATTAGACAAACTGTCTTTGATGCAGTAGCACATGATTACCAATCTGTTGCTGTAATCGTTGATGCCACAGCTGCTGCTACACCTGAGGTACATGATGGTATGTAGTTCTTAACCACTTGAATCTTAATCACAATGTCTTTTGGGAACTGCTATGTTATGCTTCGAAATTTGACTTCTACCTATATAATTGATTAATCCATACAGCATTTGCTTGTTTACTTTTCATGCATATAGTGTAATACACTTGCTTTGTGCTCCTGGCAATATGTGAGTGCCTGCATGCCATTTTCTTTGGTATTTTATTCATCCAAGTTCTAGAGATATTAATAAAGACAACAAATTTTATACTTCCTCCATAAAATTTTTTATGTGGAGATTATGCTAGGTCAAATGGGGAAATTCTAGGTGTATGAAACTAGATTGTATCATTTGCTCCATCTATCTATGGGATATATGCCTATGGAAATTTTCATCTTATCTTAAACTTATTAACTTCTATAGAGGTAGTAGCATAAAATAGGAGAGATGAGCAGGTGATAGACTCTGTAGGAGATTATTCAAATACACGTATGTAACAAGCAGGCATATAATTAAATGAGAATGTGAATGTAGTTATATATGCAATATGTGGGTCAACAAGTTAAGAGTTGGCGATTGTTCTGAATGTCTTGCTTAAGTTGTGTCGAAGCGGTTCTTCTAGAAGGAGAAGTAATGTTGCAAACAAGTAAAGCAGACATGTCCTGAGAGTGGCAAAAAGGAAGATTGGAGCAGACCCTAAAGTACCAAATACTGTGGTAGGTGGTGGAACAGTGTATAGGGAATAGGAAGTAGGGAATTAGGGAAGAATAAGGGAAGAGAGAGATGTAGAGGGAACATTGAGGGGGGAGAGGAGTGTAGATAGGGAGTGTGTGAACCTCCAAAAGGCCCCAAATGAGTTGCCAAAACCCCATATATACATAGGCTAGCGGGTGTCGCTAATGCGACCAATAGAAAGATGCCAAGTGGTTGAGCATTAAAGCCTTTTCAAGTAGGTGTTAAGGTTACTAGTGGTTATTCTAAGTTCTATGACAGCACAATTGAAGTGTGGTATTAGGAGAAGGGGAAGCACTCTTGCAATTCAAAGAAAAGTTAAGAGGAAGACCTCTAAACTACTTCTATTCAGAGATACCAAGCCAAACTCTGAAAAATCTCAAGAGTGGAATTAACTCAAGAACTTACCACTTGTTTCGTGGTTTCTTTCATTGCTTCTAATGTAAAATAACCTTGTCAGTTGTTCTAAATTACTTTTGCTACTTCATGCAGTGACGCAACTTGGCTTCCTGTTTTTAGATTACTTTCACTATTGTATGTGGTAATGTAATCGCGATAAGACAACTTCACTGATATTGGAGAGAATATGTTTGTAGCCAAAATCAAGTATCTATAGGGTACAAGAGAATAGAGGTTGTTAATGTATTTCCTTAAGTTGTTGGAAGATGAAAGTAATTCAAAACATAATAAGAGCCTTAGAACCTTTGGAATTTACTACTCAAGACTGGTTTAAGAGTCAGCTAACTTTGCTGAACATAATTCATGAAGGACTACATAAAAATTTGGGTAGAAGGGGCAAACTTTAATTCTTTGTCATTTCAAATTTAAAGAGTTATAAGCTTCTTGGTGAGATTGGGATAATGATATTGAATGTGAAATTAATTCAAAAGATTGCTAAGGGGGGAAACATTTGCACTCACCTTTTGAGAAAAAGAGTGTAGATAGAAGGCAGGGAAATGAAGCAGACAAGGGTTAGGGGGAGAGGGAGGGCTGAATGGGGGAAAAATTATACAAAAGTCCAATTTTTTTTCAATTCTCTTATTTGTTTCGCTTGAAAACTTTAATAGACAATTCTCTTTGTTCTTTTGTCTTGGTATCATTGACATATTAGAAGAATTTACTTCAATATTTTAACGTTTATCTTTGAGAGAGAAAAATAAGAATATTTTTTTCTGCAAAATGGCATTTATACTGATAAAGAGCTTTAAATTATGTGAACCAGCCAATATCTTTGACATGAAAAATATTGGAGTTGCAACACCAACACTGCAGGAGTGGTGCGAAACCAATGCTTGATCCATCAAATGATTGAACTGGGATGCATTCTACCCGGTGGCTCTCCCTTCTCTATTAGACTACATGCATTCTGTCTCTATAAAACTGTGTGTCTTAATGTATATGTTTTGTGTGAGTGATAGTCATTACTATGCTCATTTTTATGTTACCAATACGGCTTGCTAGTTTTCTTAACTGGTTCCATTCAGGGAAATGTTCATGATTGAATCTGGCAAGTTCACTTTTTAATAGCTTTTTACTTGGATTGCGTACATGTGGGTTCTTTTTCAATAGAATGGACAAGCAATTCCGATGCATTGTGAAGGTATGGAACTAATCCGGAAACGAGAGAAGGGTCTAGCATTGCATGGGATTGAGTGTAAGTTTGGGTTCTATATTGTCAGGCTCCAACTCTGCTCATTTAAATTGGACGCAAGTGGGATTTGTCGGCCTAATGTCATAAAACTGTATCAAACAATTAGCTTGATCCAGTGACCCGCTGCTTAAGCCCAAGCATAATAAGCATAAACTTAGACCACAGAAAACTTTGATCTTAAACTTGGTGTTGCACCCAATGAAAGCAAAGAAGAAAAATAACCCATATCATGTTATTAGAATGAATAAGCCTATCTAAATTGGTTTGCAATACAAGAATATATGAAGATTTTCATTGTTTTCTCCGGATATTTTCATCTTTGGTTTTTGCTTTTTACTTTTATTCTTTATTCTTCACTCAAATAAGAGAACTGAAATCTCCCAACCCGTTGTAGGATCACGCATCCTATTACTCAAACTCTATGCCACTCAATTATTGAATTTAAAGCTTGAGATTTTCAATTCGAAAATAAGTTCAAATATCTACAAAAAGGGTAACATATATGGGAAACTGGATCATATATAAGTTGATTTCTAGATTCTCTCATCTCAAACTTGTGATGTCCTTAGTTTTGACAACAAGAGGGATATTTTTAATGGAGAAAGGGAATTTGTTCTAGTTTTCAACTTCTTTACCGCTAGACTTGGGTAGCTGGATTCTGTCTATCGTCTGTCCGATACAGTCGACCTTAACTGTGGTTGAATAATGAATTCTGATGAATGAGGCCTGAGGTGTCTTGAAGACTATCCAAAACTCAATCAGCAAGATGTCTACTTGGCTTAAGCTTGGTCATGGAAAACGAATCAGCTTGTATGCATCACGGACCACGCGCTATACAGCTCCATATTTTTGTCCATTCCAATCCTCCAGGCATAGCAAATGGAAGCATGATTTAACGTTTGTTTCAAAATTTGCTTTTGACTAAAGAAAAACCGAATCTAAAACCCAACAAAACTAAGGGTCCTAGCTTAAGTCAGAAATTGATTGACACTGATCAATCTGGGTTTGTAGGCCGCTTAAGCTTTTCAAGGTAAGCATTTTTCCATTTATATAATGTTTGAGATCAAATCTCAAGCTATCATACAGGAAACAAAATATCAAAAATTTCCTAGTTGTGTCTTATCCTTGCCTCTTTTCTTTTGGCTTTACCTTTCACTTGAACGCTTGATTAAAAGGCAGTCAAGTAATTGAGCTTCAAGTGTCTGATTTAAAGTGGTGATGGATCTATTAATTAAGCAATGCTGATGCTAATGCTCATCCTCTTGGATTGTCATAACCCAATTCCAGCATAGCATTTTAACTTACACAATTCGAGAACGCAACGAAGGGAGTTGATGCGTTCCTGCTAGGAGAGGAAATTCCCAACAACGTGATTTTGTTCGTTCTGATGTGACTCCTGGATTTTTCTTTGAAAGTAGTTTGTGTGGAGATGCTTTAGGTGTGACTAAACTTCATTCTGTAAACTCTATGCAATCCCCAATTTTAACCAAAAAAAGATGTGTTTGGTCTATTGTATGATAGATGCAAGCATTGGTCTAGGTCAACATAGCCACGAGTATATCAACCAGAGTTAAGGTGGCCAGGAAAAGAGGCAGTCACTGAGATAACATCAGAGTTGTTCAGATGTCATGAAGATGTGATAACAACACCCAAAGTCTTGAAAGATTTTGGGATGAGAAGTAACCATCACATACAAGATAATGTCTGAATGTACCTGAAAGCAACATGTCGATAAGAAGTAGCAGTGATTCATGACGACCAAAGAAGCTTCATGAAAGAATATTTCTTTGCTAAAGCTAAGAAAAAAAGAAAATGACCTCATCGGCAAGCATTTAATGAGCTATGGCCTTTCATTCTCTTTTTTGAGAGAAAGATATTGAAATATCAGAGCATAGGTATGTAAAATTCGAAAAGTTTAATGGTAACAATGAGTTTAAAGAATTCTGATAGTATAAAATTAAAATCGCTATGAGACTGCTCAAGATGCTACTAGTTTCGTGAAGGCTCTTCAGACCAACACGGAGACAACAAGAATGGCCAGAATAGCTGATGCGGTGCATGGCCCCACGGAAAAAGTTCAAAGAGCATGCTCCCTATCAGACACCCAAACTTGAAAGGAATACATAAGCTGAAGTAAAAGTTATACGCTAACCTGGTCGATCATACAGATATCCGAGGTGAAACAAGGGTAAATAAATATTGGTAGCAAGATTTGTTGATGATTTAGTCATGATTAATTAATTATCCTTTTTTAAAGAATAAAAAATCATGATCCGAATCTTTTATCTCTTGAAATTTTTTTACATTGCAAATCCAATCACATACGTGTGGAGATCCTTGACCAAGGGAAAATTTTACTTCTATTTTCTCTTCCATGCCAATAGCGGATCCAATATTTTATATGAGAGATGGTTAAAGATCAATCATACAAAATCATAAATTGAGTTAATGATTTGATTCAAAGTAAAAAATTAATCATTTTTAAAATAACATAAAATTATAATGAAAAATTTCATTAATAATTTGAATAGAAATTTTTAAATTCATCAATATAAATGAACATAAAGTAAAAAAAAATATTAATAGTAGATTTTCATATTAGGCAATATAAGCTATAGTGAACGTACTTTGATGCTTTCAAATTCATCGATAATTAAATCCGTGCTAATGTTTCTAACAATCACTTTATACCTATTTAATTTGAAAAAGTAAGATAATACTATTGAAATTTTTTAAATATTTTAATCACATTCTTGTTTAGTTTTTCATGTTAACATATGATATACTGCATAATTACTTAAACCGAATCAACAGATTATAAGAAAAATCAAAGTAAAAAATTAGACTATTTAAGAAATTAAGTAATGCATCTTTTACTCCATAAGACTATAAAATATTTTATATAGTGATACAAAATATTCTAGTAAAGGTACACTAAAAAAATGAAGAATTTTTAAGAAAAATAGATTTTGTATAAATGTTTAAATTAAATCTTCAAGTAATTATACTTTTTAGACAGAGTTAAGTAATGTATCCTTTACTTTATAAGAAAAGAAATAACAAAAATAATTTTAAAATTTGAGTTTACTCTTTTAGTTAAACAATGCATCTTTTACTCTATAGGAAAAAAGAAATATTAGAAAAATAATTTTAAAATTTAAGTTTTCCTTTATAAGAAAAAAAGAAAAATAATCTCAAATTTTGGACGTCAAAGGAATTGAACCCAGCCTGTAAAATTTTATATAAATGACTTATCATTATGTCAAATCAATTTATTTGAATTAAATAGGAGTGGTAAACTTATATATTTATAATTTTATATCCATAAAAATAAAAAAAAATTAAAAACTGAGGGGTGGCTTACCTCTGCCACTGGATACGGCCATGTTCTTACTTGGTCTGTTTAAATTTGAAGACAAATTAGAAATTGCGTGAGGGGAAGGGATGATATTGAATTGGATGAATGTATACATATAAAGCCTTGTTATATAGGAATGGTTGTTAAGAAGTCAGCACAAGAAATTTGAATTTGTGCTTGTACATTTTCTATTGTGGAGACAATGGGGTGATTTTACTCATTATTACTACATCTAATTTCATGTTAAAACCAAATTAATTACCAAAAACTTTCATCTCTTTCATATTCCCATGCACAAACCAAATGCTTTTTGGCATTTTCCCAAGCAAGTTGGAATTCCAAAGCAAGTGATGCAACGGGGACATTACATCAAAATGGGACATTTGCATCGTATGGCTTAAGAATATTCATTCTTTTTTGACAAAATCGTCTTTCAATATCTAGTTAAAATAATTTATTTTTTTTCAATATTCTTTTTCTTCCATAGAGATATGGTTGTTATTGAATTATATTAATACTTTTGTACAATTTTAAAAGTTGGAGGACAAGTTAACTCAATTGACAAGGCCTTCTGACTCAACCAAAATGGTTTTGGATTAAAATCTTATCACTGATCCGAAGATTAGAATAACCCTTCCGAAATTTAGTTCACAAAAAAAAAGTGAAAAATAACAAGATAAGGAAGGTAGCCCAGGAGCCGATGGATAGGATTTGGGCCGCTGAGTTGGATACATGAAAACCAGCTGAATGCAAATACAATGCGCTACTTCCAAGTTCCTACTTTGCCTTAAACTTGGTAAAGAGGAAAGAAGATTTGATGCAACATAGAAAAGAGAAAAGTCAGAGACTATGCAGTTCCCATGGTTATATTAATTCCTTCCTTCCTTTCAAGGCACAGCAACTTAATTAATGGAGGCAGGATATGACGTTGCTTTTCAAATTTTCCTTTGACTAAAGAAAAACATACCTAAAATCCAACCCCAATGGTGGTCCTACTTTTAGTCAAATATAGATCGACAATGTATCAATCATCCGATGAGGAGTGTGGGCACCTGGGTCAATTTCTTTTAGCTTTTGAAAGCCAACCAATTTCCATGTTGGGATCAAATCTCTAGCTCATATTCAGAAGAAAAATATGAACATAAGTCTAGAAAAGTATTCTTCTACTTGCAAGCGTCTCTTTTTTTGGTTCATACGGCCAGTAAATGCCACCGAATTGGGTTACAAAGTGTTTGGTTTTCCCCTTTTTGCGTGGTAAAACCCAATTAAAGAGGAAGAATTCATATTTTAAAACTTTAATCTTTTGGCATTTTCTTTCCTTTGAGAATGGTTTGAAAGAAATAATTGAAACTGGCAAAATTACTGCAAATTTCAAGTTGTTTGATGCTGACTTTAAGGTCCCCTTTAATCACGTGAAATGTTTGTCCAAAGGGCCCATTCACAGCAACAATAGCATAATCATAATCATATATTTTTGTCAATAAAAAAACATTTTTATGACAGATCCGCAGGAGATCAACTGGGATTGTGACTTGTCTTCTTGTTTTCTACTTACGTTAATTCACAATAATGAAAGTGTAATT